CAGAATTCAAGGCTAAGCTAGGCAATCTAGGCAATGTAGAGAAACCCTGTCTCACAACACAAAAATGACTTTTATTACACAGCAGGTAGCTCTCTATACTTTGGGGTCTTTTTTATTGATCTGCTTATTCCTGTTCCTTTGCTAAGGCAGATTTCCTTTCATTACTCATGTAATGATCTTTAAAAAAATTCCCACCCCAATATGTTCTACTTTTTTTTTTTGTATTTATTTATTTTCTTTGAGATAGACTCAGATAACTTCCCCGGCCTGGCCTCCGACTCATGGTTCTCCTGGCTCAGCTTTCTGGGTGCCAGGATTACAGGCATGTGCCATTGGCTTGACCTCTCCTCTCCTCCCCTGTCACATTTTAGATGAAGAAAGTTAGGGATAATTTTTTTATTTCGTTAAACCCATAATTATAATTTATAATATACAAGACACTGATTTAAGATTGTGGAGGATCGTAAGAGGAAAATGATAGAATTCCTACTCTCAGAGCTAGGTGCAGGGGCCCATACCTATAACCACAGTTACTTGGGAAGATAATGCAGGCCTTGGGATTGTAGAGAGACACTGTTTGAAAACAAAAAACCAGAGGGCCTATAGTCCCAGGACTTTAGGAGGTTAAGAGAGGAAGATTGCAAGTTTGAGCCCAGCCAGGGCAACTTAGCAATTTATTGCAACCTGTCTCAAAATTAAAAATTTAACTCAATGTGAAGGACCTGGGTTCTACTCTAGGACTGCCCCCTCACCCCAAAGCATGAGGTGGATTGGGTTCAATCCTCAGAAGGGCATGGGGTGAGGGTAGTGCCTGCTCTGAGTGGGTAATTAATGTATGTACTTAAAATTCGAATATAAGAAAGAGGCAAAACAGAACATGGACCAACAGATATATTGTGTAGAGTTAAATGTTTATTAGATCTTAAAACTGAGCACACACATAGCAATAGTACAGCCTGCCAGACCACTGTTTAACGAGGTTGTTGCAGCAGTTTTATAATCAGTTCCTCTAGGCTACTTAAAGTTGTAAAGTGGAGAACAGGTGCAGCCTTATTTTGATATAGCATCTCTGAAATCTTAGTGCCTAGGCATTCTTCCTTAGACTTTTTCTTGTGTGTGGAGGGGAACAGGCAGCATTCCAGGCCTTGAATGTCTGGTATTATAGATGTTTTGAATTCCTGAAGTTGAAGTTCACTGTGCAAAGAAATTAATTAACTCTGGTTTTTCTCTTAGGTATATAGGAACGATTTCATTTGAAAGATGTTTGCAACTGAGTGGATGAGCTAGCTGTTAGACATGCCTACCTAATCTTATTGCATAGAGTATTTTCTTCTGAAAAGTCTATCTTGTTTCTCTGGTAACTAAATATAACTACGTTATAATAAAATTTTGTGATCAGAAACCCAAGATTTGTATTTAGTGATCTTTATATTTAGTGACCTTTCATTGTCTTATACAAACTGTCTATCACAAAACCAGTTATAGTGGCTTCTCTGGTTATTTATATATGATGTAATTATTATGTGTTAAATGCACAACGTGGGGGTAGCAAGAAGAAGTGCCTAGGAGCTTTAATAGATACATAAAAGAGAGAAGCAGGGGTGGGGATGTAGCTCAGTGGTAGAATGCCTAGCATGTGCAGAGCCTTGGGTTCTATCCCTAGTACTACAAAATAGACAGACTGATAGGTAGATAGAAAGAATGATAAACAAAAGAAGTGAATTTGCACTAGGAAAATCCTAGATAAGCTCTAAGAAGATTGCTGGATTGTTAAATTGAAGAATGAATGTGATCTCAAGACACAGACACAGGAAACAAGGCTATTCTAGCTACTGGAGGATCCTAATGTTATACTAAATGCCAGAAAGGGACAAAAAATGTGTTAAATACTTTATAGTAACGTCATGCCCATTTTACAACCTCTAGATATGAGTTGCAAGGTGCTGGGGAATTGTATTGACATCCTAAGCTAAGATAAGCCTGAAGATAACAAACAGGACGGCCATTGGCTAAGGACATGGTCAGGTTCTGGAAGGGTTCACAACAGAGTACTCTAGTGATCAGCTAATGAACCCTCTGGCTGGGATTGCTTATGGGAGAATGGTAGACTTTTAGAAATGAACTAGGTTGGTTTAAGCATTTATTTATTGAGTATTTTTATGTCCTAGGTACTATTCTAGGCAGTGCAAATATGACCATAGATAAGATAAACTATAGCTTTGTTTGCCTAGGGCCACCATCCTCGTACAAAAGACGGATATTAAGAAAGGTAAACACACCAATCTCAAGACAACTTACATTGTGATAAGTGATTGAGATATGTCTAAATCCGTATCTGTATCCCTAGCTCCATAATCGTTGTCTATAATGTTGTCATAAAGCAATGAGAAGGCCTTCTGGGAACAATTTTTGAGCAAAATCTGAATGATAAGAAGACATACAGAAATAAACTAGTAGGCAGAATACATGAAAAGAGCTCTTCTCTTTTATGCATTTTTTTTTTGGGGGGGGACCATGGATCGAACTCAGGACCTTGCATTTGCCAGGCAGGTGCTTTTTCTGCTGAGCTATCTCCCTGGCCTTCTTTTATGCCCCTATTAAAACACTAAGCACGTCTGCTTGTGACTCCTACACTATGTCATGCATAGACAGCAACATGTTACATTCAACAAAAACCATTAGAAGAAGAATGGAAATAACACCTGGAAGGAACAGGCAGAGACAGTTTGCAAACTAACAAGAAGTACAGGGCCGGCGAGATAGCTCAGTGGACTAAGCATCTCGCGATTCCATTCCCAGTACCACATCCCAGGCCAGCCTTGCTCTGGGCACCCTCAGCTGGTCACCGAGATCCGGTGTGGTGGTGCACACCTGTAATCTCAGCGCCGGGGAGGCTGAAAACAGGAGGATCACGATGAGTCTGAGCTGTGTAGTGAGACCCTGTACCAAATATGAAGAAGAGGAAGAGGAAGAAGAGGAAGAAGAGGAAGAAGAGGAAGAGGAAGAGGAAGAAGAGAAGAAGGAGGAGGAGGAGGAGGAGGAGGGGGAGGAGGAGGAGGAGGAAGAGGAGGTATACATTGGTTTTAAAAAGAACTACAGCTGGATTTTTGAATTCTTTAGGCCCTGTCTCAGTTACTTTTTACTTGTTGCTGGGATAAAATGCCCACCACCCAAAATTAAGGAAGGAAAGGTTTATTTAGCTCACAGTTTGTGGAGGTTTCAGTCTATGCTCGGCTGGCTCCAAGGCAGAGTGGCACATGGCAGAGAGCAGCTGTTCCTGGCAGCATGAAACAGTGAAAAGCAAAGGGAAGGGCAGCAGCTGCAGCTTCTAGCCAGCTCCTCTCCCCTCCTTATAAACAAGCTACACTGGGGCTGGGGGTGTAGGACTCACACAATGCCCATGCCCTCCTCTTGCACAGGATGAGGATGTTTACAAACTAAGAATCCTGGCTCTCTGCTGAGTCACTGAATTCAACTTCTAAACTTAAATTGACACAATGTATTGACCAGTACAGCCCCTCTTATCTACTCAGTGTTTCTGATCTCCTGTTTCTTTTGGTATGTGATTTTTTTCCCCTCCTTTTTTTGTGCTGGGTGGTGAAACCAGGATCTCATCATATTTTACATGATTTTAAAAACATGTCTAAGTCTAGCAGGGCCTGGTGGTGCACATCTGTAATCCTAGCTATAAGAGAGGATGGAACAGAATGACCAGCAAGCCCGAGGCTAGCATGGACAACTTAATAAGGGACTGCTGTCTCAATAAAACAGAAAAGGGCTGGGGAGATAGCTCAGCCGACTAAATGCTAACTTAGGCTATTGCGCCAGCCACCAAGACCAGGTGTGGTGGCACATACCTGTAATCTCAGCGCTGGGGAGTCTGAGACGGGAGATCTGTGTGAGGCTGAGCTGTGTAGTGAGACGCTGTATCAAACAATTATCTATCAATCATCAGAAAAGTTACACAGTGGTAGGGCATTTGGCTTGCATGTTTGAGGCCCTGGAGTTAAACCCCAGCACTGCAGTAAAAAGGGGAGTAGGGAAGCAAGGTTAAGTCAGTTTCCTTGTTGTAGTGCAAAGCTCGATTTCCCTTTTTTTGGTTTAGGAATTTGTTGTCCTTCAAGTATTTGATTTTGACTTACAAAAATAAGTGCGCTCTTTGTGAACAATCAGAATGTAAGTTTTTGTGAGTTACGTTAAACATTTCTAATGTTAATCATCAATTTATTACAAAAAACCCATCACGTTAAACGCTGCAGAGAAGACAGATTCTGAGGTCAAATCCCACTCCATTTTCTTTCATCCTAAAAGAAAATTAAAAATCTCAAAAATAACTATGTATTATCCAGTTCGCTTCATTCCTTTCTGTGTTGGAAATAGCCGTTTTAAGACTTTGATACTTTAGGCTTAAGGGTAGAAGCTATATGGACTTGAGGGCCTGCTCAGCGATACTGACACACTCCACCAGTCTCTCTAGCACCGTGTCAGAAAAGCTGCTTTTCCCCTTCCCTAGTTCTCATCCCATCTTCTAGCCTGTTCTTCCGAGCTTCGAATAATTTTCAGTATGGTCAATCATCTGACCCTAAAAATACTTGTTGAAGTGCTGAATTTGTCTTGCCCAACTATCTGAAATTAGTCTTGATCATGTCGATGGGAATTTAGTTGCTACATCAATTAAACTATGTGGTCCTTCAGTTACACAGCGGCCCCGGGATCACAATGACTAAGTTCACCCAGCTTGCCCTGCTCATGCTAAATTCAGAGCTTGATCCTGTGGTTGTTTCAGGGGTGGCTGTTTCTCCTGCCCCCAGTACCCTGAGCTCTAACTCAAGCCTAAAGCCCGGGGACTATCTTGATCCGGTTAGCTAAAGCTCTAATGCCTTGCAGAGTGCAGGTTTATTCCGGAGCAGGAACCCCGCGTCTTTCCAACTAGCGGTTCTTCTGCACGTTGCACGCGATTACCGCTGAGTCCGAGCGCGGCGCGGAGCAGCTGGCCCTTTGTGCCCCGAGCTCGGAAACCCGGCCGGCTTGTGACGCACCGAGGCTCCGCCCCCGGCGTGACGCCGGCGTCAGACCAGTCCCGGCATCCTCCGCGGCCGACCGCGGCGGAGCGCACAGAGAAGTCTAGCCCGTGAGCGGCCGCGGCGCAGTTCCGTTGCTGTCCAGGTCCGGCTCGGCCAGCGTGCCGCCTCTAGCCGTTTTCCTACCGCTCGCCCGTCCACCCGAGCGCCCCCAGCCCTCCCGCGAGGGCGCCCCGGGACGGAAGGAACCACCAGCCTGTCGGCGCCCGCCGTTCTCGTGGTCGCCGTCGCCGTCGTGGTCGTGGTCGTCTCCGCCGTCGCCTGGGCCATGGCCAATTACATCCACGTCCCGTCCGGCTCGCCGGAGGTGCCCAAGCTGAACGTCACGGTGCAGGATCAGGAGGAGCAGCGCTGCCGGGAGGGGGCCCTGAGCCTGCTGCGACACCTGCGGCCCCACTGGGACCCTCAGGAGGTGACCCTGCAGGTAGGTAACGCCCCCCCCACCCCCGCGGCCCCCCGCCCCCGGCGTCCTCCCGGCCGCCCCCGGCTTCCCGGCCAGCGCGAGGGCCCTCAGGAGCATCCCCCTCCGCGGTCCTCCGGGAAACGGCCCTGGGCTCCTGCATCCCCCCGGGAAGGTCACTCCCCCTCTCCACAGCTGCTATTAAGATTGCCCCGAGGGCACGTTTTCCCCTTCTGCAAGCCGCTGCGTGAGTGACGCACCCCTTCCACCCCGGGAGAAGATTCCGGCGCTGGTTGCCCCTCCTCCCACTCCGCAGTCGGTTCTGACTGTAAAACGAGCCCTCTCCACTCCCCCTGCGCGGGGTCCTCGGCTGCCGCCCCAGTGACTTCCTCCTTCCATAAATATTGCGCTCATTAATCCTTTCTGGTCGTTCCCATCCCCTCCCACACCCTGGCGACTTACCCTCCTTGATCAAGCCTCCGCCTGCAATGTATCTTCCCAAATGCTCGCATTGGCGAGTACTCGATTCCAGAGTCATGATCCGGGCCGTGCGTTCTAGATTTAAGTTTTTAGGTCGCACTGCATACATCTTTTCTTTGCTTAGATATTTCCGAATTTTTAAGTTGTAGTAAAATTAGTACCTCATGTTGGCATGGCGGGGACTGGGGAATATTTGCTTTTCTTGACCCACTGTATTTATACACAGACAAAAACCTGGGAGGAAAACCCATCTCTTTGAGTTTTCGATTAACTTGAAGTTATGATTTCTTATAGAATGCCAATTTTAAATTTTTTGCAGGTTTTGCAGTATTTAGTTTTACAAATTACATGGCAAAATGGACCTCTTAAACTCATTTATCCTTGCAAACGAACAAACAAAAAAATCTCAATAAATTTCAAGACTGATATTTAGGGGTTGTAAGAACATGATTTGAATTAGTAAAATCATCTGCCTCGTTTTTTGATGACTTCAATTGTCGAATTTATTCAGTAGTGTTTGTTGATTGGTTGTTTCTTGAACTCTTTACTAAAGTAGCCATCCATCTATCTACAAAGATGCATGAAACATGAACAATACCCAGGTCCCAGAACAGTCCCTGACACTTGGCCTTTCTTGTGTCAGTTTCAGTTCTTACTGCCTAGGGGAATTTTGAACAGATTAAAAGGAACCATATGCTTTAGGGGGAAAAAATTGTGATTCAAAAATGTTCAGAATTTTAAGGGTCTATTTGTTTGCCATATATATGCAATAATGAATCTAGTGTTTTTATAATTAAGAATTACTTCCTTTATGGAAATGTCTTCAAAATTGGAACTTGTACTTGTTTGTTCCTCCCTGGGGTGCTGGGATTGGACCCTGGGCCTTGCACGCGCTAGCAAGTGGTCTACAGTTACCACATCCCTGGTCTTCATACTTACTGGTTATTTATTAACTTTTCCAGTTTATTTTTGACCATTCTAAAATTTATTAAAGTGATTTATTTTCTGGCAGTGAGTCATAAATTAAGCATATCTCTTATTAAAGTTAGTGCCACTTCCTGGTAAACTCCAGCACTAACACGTCATGTTGCTTTTTAAGCAGTGGCTTCAAAGTTTGAAGTTTTTTTTTTTTTTTTGTATTTTTTTAGGGAAGTGCCTACAGGGTGTTCAGGGTCTCACTACTAGGTCAGACTCCTAGTAATCCGCCTGTTTACAGCCTCCCAAGAGCTGGGATTACAGGTGTACGTCACCATGCCCAGTCTCAATTGCCATCTCAGTGTGCCCTGCACGGCAGGCCTGGAGATCGGCAGGCCTGGAGATCGAACCCCTGACCCCTGTGCCTCCTTGCAGACGCTTTAATCCTCTGAGCTATTTGGCCGGCCCCAAAATTGGAAGATTTGAAGACTGGAATTTTATTTTTCTGTAGAATAGTAATAATAGCTATGCTGGGGCCTCATGTTCTAGACTGATCTCTCTCTCTATGTTTTTGACATTTAATTGTCCAAATAGCCATGGTAGGTGAGTAGTAACATTTCTTGGGTAAAATTATAAAAAAGCCAGGCTTTAGGTAAAAAGGACAAAAGATGGTACATGAAATTGGTTTTGATTGTTGGAAAGTAATTGTGATTTAATATTCATTTCTGAGTGGCAGTTTTCAGCTTTCACCTTTGGGCTCATAATCAGCACTGCTAATTTGTAAGTGATAGAAAACACTATCACTTACTTTTTTCGAAACCTGACTATTATGTAGAAATGTATTTTTCCATGTACATCCAAAGTTTTTGATTCAGAAGCCGGGACACAGATACACTGACATGATGGTTAGTCACCTTTCTTTCTTTATTCCTTTTTTTTTTTTTTTTTTTTCCGGACCCGGAGATTGAACTCAGGCCCTTGTGCTTGCCAGCGCTTATTCCACTGAGCCATCTCTCCAGCCGGGTTATTCACCTTTCAACTCAGTAACATTTGACTTCCTCCCATTCTAGCTCATTACAAACTCTGCGCTTGATCTTAGCCAGAAGGCTGGGAAGTGATAGGTCATTATAGACTCTTGATGTTTCAGGATTTCTAAGTAAATCTCAATGGGACTGTTTTGAGATTTCTATATTGGAAGTATACAGATAAAAATTACACCTCATATTTCAAAATGAAAAACATGGATTGTATACCAAACAGATTAGAATGTAATTTTAGGAAATTTGGTGTTGATTAGTATAGCTTGCTTTGTTTTGGAAGAGGGCCTGGATAATGTAGTTCAGGCAGGCCTTGAATTCACTGTGTAGCTCAGATTGTGCTCAAACACACTGTTCTTCTGCTTCGCCCTCCTGAGTGCTGGGATTATAGGCAAGCACCACTACCCTTGTCCGTGCCCCCAACCCCACACTGGGTTTGAACTCGGGGCCTTGAGCATACTAGACAGGTGCTTAAAATATGCTTTAAACATACTTTAGTTTTCTATAGTAATACTTATCTTACTTGGAAATTACATCTGGAAAATGTCCGATTTCAGAGTGTACTGGAAAGACTTGAGTTCAGTACAAAGTGGTGAAAGGGCCTAGTCTTTGCTCAAAACATACGAGTGCATGGAATGATATACCCTAATTTAAATAGATTTTTCTGCTCTTACAGAACTTTGTGAGGTTTTTTTGAGTTCAGTGAGAGTAGGCAGAGTAGATCTCACACAGTACAGTTTAGTACCAGCCCCAGTGCTTTGTACTTAATACTGTTTTCATACTTTTCCTACAGTGCTCTCACCTGTATTCTTCCAACTATCCTATGCCGTAGACAAGTGCTGTTATTGTGTATGTTATAGTTAATGAAACCGAGCCTCTGGTTTGTAAATGGCTGATCTGGGATGGGAACCCATCTTGTTAAATACTGCTGTTTGTCCAAAAGAGGTTGTGTTGATATATTATGATGAAAGCAGGGAAGTCATGTCTGTATACAATTAAAAAAATCTTTGCCTCTTAAAAAAGAGTTTTCTATAAATTCCCTTGAACATAAATTTACATTGTTTTTGAAAAGGAATTCCTTCAGCTTTCCTTAAGATAGAGATTGTGTGGGGCTTTTTTGCTTTTTGAGACAGGGTCTCATTATGCAGTTCAGGCTAGTCTTGAGCTCACTTTGTAGCCCAGATTTATCTATTCTTTTGGATGGTCATTTAAAGGAAGAATTAAGTCACTTCTCAGGCTCAACAATCATTCTCCAGAGGTTCATAAAATTGTTTTTCCTTCTAAAAATGCTGTTAAATTAGTGTTTTTAATGTTCCATTACGTTGTCTTAGAGTCTGTCTGCAGTGTTGAACCTTTTTTTTCCATCAATTTTCATTATTTACACTTTTTTCACAACTTGGGACCTGTACATAGCCCATTATGGCAAAGTCTTGAGAGGATCCTGAGGTCAGTCACTGTTAACAGTTTTAAACTAACGATTTTCTTTGTGGGCTTTCCATGACATTCTTGTTCTGTGGCCCCCTTCTCTCTCCTGCCCTCCCCTTCCTTTTTCTTTTGCTATTGAGCTAAGTTCCAAGCTCTTTTTAAGTCTTTTGAGGTGGAGTCTCACCAAGTCACTAAATTGTCTAGGCTGGATTCCTGCCTCAGCCTCCTGGGTTTAAGGCATGTGCCTCCTTGTCAGGCTTCCATTTAAGTTTTCTTTTTTAAAGTGAAATATACTGATAGTGGTGCAGAACATAGTGTTGAAACTGTGCAGGTTTTGAATCTAGACTGTTTTACTAGCTTTTTTAATTTGGTTAAGTTACTTAACCTTTTAAGCCCTCAGTATCCTTCACTGTAAAATGAACCTGAGGGCCGTTGTGAGGGTGAAATAAATCCTCTTTCAACAATTACTGTCACTGAGCACCTGAATATTGGATGCCTTAATAAAAAAACAGATATCTGGTTTTTGAAATTCTCAGTCTTTGAGAGAGACAACAAAATATAGTATAGTGTTTTGGGGATGAATAGATTTTTTTCACATGCAGAAGCTACATGAGAACATTTAGAGAATGTATTGGTCTCTCTACTGCTGTACTGTATGCTTCTGCATTAAAAAACCTTTTTTTTTTTTTTTTTTTTCATGGGCCTGTGCATCCTAGGCAGATGCTATACCACTGAGCAGTTTCTGGATTTTATTTGTTAAGTGCATATACACTAGCCTGGGAGCTGATGTGTCAGGTTGTGTAGCTACAGAGTACTGTCCGTATACCCTTCCTTGTTTTCAAACATTTTAGAGACAGTTACCTAAACATTAAAAATTCATAATCTCACTTTAATTTAATATTGACATTTAATTTTGATATTGATTGTTCTGTGCTTTGAAAGAATAAAAACTGACCTGTACAGGTGCACTATTGAATTGTGTCTTCTTTTTGAGATAGAATTTCACTATGCAATTCAGGCTGGCCTTGAACTTACTTTGTAGCCCAGGTGGACCTTGAATTTGCCTGCCTTGGCCTCTCAAGTGCTGGGATTACAGGGAAATTACAGGCATGCCCCACCACGCCTGGCTGAGTTTGTTGTCCTTAGTGTTCTAAACCATACCCTTAG